CTCTCATAAAAATTGCTTAAAATAGATACAACGCAAGGCAGTTATTTGAACTACAAGTCCCTTAAGCAGCTTCAAATACGAATGTCGAAATTTCCCACAAATTGAGGAAATGCAAAAATGGCAGTTGCGTCACCGTTTTGCCATGGCTACGCCGAACCTGAAAAAAAAACTGACTTTATTTGGAAACTCTAATCTATACCCTTGAAGTGGGTACAATACACCTTTTTTATAGCTTGTATGTTTTGTTTTCCCAATGAAGTCCCAGGGGAATTTCACCCTTTGCCTTTTCGTAAATTAAGCGTACATACGCATGTGAATATGACGAAATTTGAAATTATATCAAAATTAATTAATAGTGAGTGCGTGTAACTTTGCAGAACTGCATACATCGAGAAAGAGATTTTGCCATCTCTTGTACAGCTCGAAATGACGACCACAACACGACTGTTGCTAGCTACTCAGTGCTTTGTTTTGCTCACTTTAAGTGTTACAAGCTTGCGACCTGGAGGGTAAGTTGTCTTTTTTTTTGTCCTGTCGTTTTACAAATCATCAATCGTTAGCCAAGCAGTAAACTTCGCTTGCGGAAATTTTTGCTTCCCTGCTTCGTTTCCAGACGTCCTTTCTTGCAGAAGTGTGATTCCTAGGAAGGATGCACTGCTTTCGGTGAACTCCTAAACGCGACGCCCCAATCTCGTCACCAGGGCTCTTCCCTTAGAAATGGTAGGGGGGGACACCCTGCGATCAAGGTTGGTGGCGCCTTAAGCAAAGGCATTTTTCAACGACGCAGGTCAACCGGAAGTGGACCTTTTGCATTCCTGGGCAGTGGTTTTGCCCAAAATTCGGGCAAATGGCCTCTCCGGTATCCGCTAAACTGCCAGATACCTGAGCAGAAGGAAGGTGAACCTTATAATGAAAGTTCGCTTCGGACGGGAGTTCTCATTATACAAAAAAAAAAAAAAAGGATGAGAAAGACATTAATGCAGACAGGCCCATATATAACGCGAATCAAAGAAGGTAAAAAATGTCTTGACGAGAATAGAGGGTAATTGACATGCATTATGAATGAGATATTAGCTCGTAGGGGTGACGTATATAAGTAACTAAATAATGATGATGATGACGATGACGACGAAAATGAACGCAAAAAAATGAAGAATATGTCAACAACCCCGAGTACTATTATGCGGTATAGACTCCTCTTTACAGTGAGGAGTCAAATATAAAGTAAGTTAAGGGTCACTGAAATTTTAGTCCTGTCGGGGAACGCGGCTTATGGCAGCTCGACAAACAGGTATAGTCCAGTTCACATATAATCGATTTTATATCATGTCCTTGCAGTCGCAACGTGAAAACAAGATGGGTTTCCTATTCAACAAGACTTTCCACGGCTGTCACGACATTAACTTCGAGTAGGACATGCACTAAAACATGGACCTGGTCTTGCCAAAATTGTCGCAGATGCAGGTGAGATCTGTTTTCGCTTGTCCATTTAAAAGTAGGGTTAGAAGTAGTCTAGTGTTTGAGTCATTCTTGGCTCGCAAACCCTGGACAACGGAAGCGGAAAAGGGACGATCCAGCAATATTTTGTAAATCCAAAACAATAGTGTGAGCCGGGATGTCACGGAGACTGTAAGTGGGGACAACAGGACAAGAGAGAACGCCTAGGGACTAGCATACTAAAAAAAACCCAGAAACTGGAAGGGAGAGAGATCGGGGCTTGTGAAACATTCAGTTTGTTTGCGTGAATACAGTTGACCTTCTCTCGACAGACATTCAATTACGGACAGTTCTCTTAGACCAGGAAATCCCTACCTCTATAATACGCTCATGGACACCTCTATGACATTCACGTGCATTTGGTTGATACTAAACCGATACTTGGCTTGCAGCCATGTTGTAAAGCTGAATTAGCGTAGAGATTTGAAGTAAAGTAGAAGGTTGCTTATTGATTCTAAAATGTCCAAATAAAAAAATAGAGACATTTGACTGACTGTCCGTCTTAGAGAGAGTAGCGGTAACGTGAAACCAGTAATTTTAAAGCTGAACCCATTCGCAATGAAAACGTCTGCAGGGGCGTAGCGAGCTTTTTGACTAGTTGTAGGCCTGGCTTACTTTCATTTCTACATATCCTGAAAACTGCACACATGACTAGTACGCACTGACCTCACCAACACTTTGAGCTCTTAAGCTTTTTAGCTCACCCCAACAATGCATAATTAGGCTGATTTAGCAACAGATCGGGAACGTCAGTTGACGACGGCGCACGCAAATCAAACAACTAGATTGACCAATGGCAGAGCGGCAAATTGAGCACCGGAAGTCGTGTTAATTCCTTTCCGCGCGCTTTCCTGTCGTCAACTGACGTTCCCGTCCTGTTGCTAAACCATTGATTACAAGCGAAAGAGTGATCAAACCAAAAATTTGTAGGCCCGGACCTAAAGGTCTATAGGCTGCATGGCTACGACCCTGGTCAGTTTAATTTTACTTGTACAAAACATCTAAAACTGGAACATTGTAGCAGAAAAGTGGAATCATTTTCTCATTGTACAATCAAACTGATCAAACGTTCATTCATAGAGCAAACGTTCACGGCTTCGTGGTCTAAAAGCGTAGCAGTATATGCTCCCTGAACTGGTGCAAGACTACAAAATAATAAAAATTTCGCAATCACATTTCCGTTCCGTTTTGGGGTTTTTTTCACTGTATAAAGCACCTCTCAATTGTCTGTTGACGGTTTCAAAGGTGTCTTTTGTCCTTCTTTTAGAGGTGTCCGTCTTATAATAATAATAATAATAATAATAATAATAATAATAATAATAATAATAATAATAACATTATTTATATAGCGCTCATAACCTGAGCTCATGGCACTTTAAAGTCAAAGATGGTGACTTACGCAAATCTAATGGTAGTGAATTCGGCAATTTAGAGGCACATACTGAAAAAGTCTTGTCCGCCGTAAGTTTTCATGAATGATCAAGGTTGTTCTAACAGCTGCCTAGATGAGGACCGCAAGTTCCTGGAATGCGATTGATAACTAAGTCTGTCCGCCAGATAGCTAGGTGAAAGGTTATTAAGTGATTTGAAAACTAGCAAAAGAATAATAGAACAATACGATAACTAACAGGAAGCCAGTGAAGGTCAAAGAAAACAGGCGTAATGTGATCAAATTTACGAGTCTGTGTAACGATTCTGGCGGCAGTGTTCTGAACATATTGAAGCTTCTTCAACCGCATTTTCCTACAACCGTAGAGCAAGGAATTGCAAAAGTCTAGTTTAGATGTTATAAAAGCATGAACAGCAATTTTGCTAGACTCCTGTGTGAGATATATTCTTACCTTTGGTAAGTTCCTAAGCTGGTTAAACAGGGGCACCCAACGTCAATTTTCGGAAAATATCTGTTCGGAAGACGATTTGAGATCTAGAATTTTCGGAACATTTGTTGTAAAATTTCTTGCTTGCCTGACTCTCTAGGATTTCCGAACATCTAAAAAATGTATAATTGCCCATTTTTTAACGGATTTTTACCCTAAAAAGGTCACCTAGAATTTTCGGGAGCCTTTTTTCTGGCTTAAATTTTTTAAAAAGGTAAGTTTTGATCACCATAATTTTCGGATCACTAGACTTTCAGTTAGGAAATCCGAACAGATGACAAATTTGGGGGGGATAAAAATATGCCTATATCTACCGTTTAAATACTAAGATATGTTTAACAACGCTATGTTTAAGCGGTTTTGAACTATATTCTCGTTGGGTGCCCCTGGTTAAACGATGATCTGCATATGTCAGAGACGTGCACGTCGAATAACATATTGTCATCAAGTGTTACTCCCAGACTCCTGGCATTGGCGGTGGTTGGAAGCCTCTCATTACCCATACGGAAGTAGCTGAAGAGTAGACAATTATGGTACTTCGAGTAAATAAGCATAATTTCTGTCTTGTCGTGATTGAGTTTCAGCTCGTTTGCCCCATCCAATGACATCTATCAGCGATACAGTTCTCTACGCGCAGCCTTGCAAAATCGACATCACAATCTTTGAACGATATGTAGAGCTGAGTATCATCAGAATAGAAATGATAGTCGAGTCCATGACTTCGTATTATCTCAGCAAGTGGAGCGGTGTACAATAGATACAAAATGGGACATAGTACAGAGCCCTGTGGAACGCCCACAGTCAGGTCCCTAACCGACGATTCTGTATCATTAATCTCTACAAACTGAGATAAGAATGAAACCACTGCGGAACAGTTCCCGTGATGCCAAACGAGTTCTCCAGACGCGAAAGTAGCAAAGAATGATTAACCGTGTTAAACGCCGCTGACAAGTTCAGTAACAATAGGAATACATTGTCCGCCATGTCCAGTGAGAGTAAGATGTCATTTTTGATCGTTAGCAGTGCGGTCTCTCTACTGTGGTGCGCTTTGTACGCAGATTGAAAACATTCGTGCAAGCCATTAACGGTAAGATAATTATTCAACTGCACAAACACAGACTTCTCTATCAAATTTGAAAGAAACTTCAAATTGGACACCGGGCGGAAGTTGGAAAATTGCTCACAGTCAGCATTCGGCTTCTTCAGTAGCGGCCGCAGCGTAGCAATCTTAAGATCATCTGGCATCGATCCAGTCGACAGCGACAGATTGATTACCGTTTTGAATATCGGGACAAGAGCCGAATAGCAACTTTGCATTATGGTTGCTGGTAGGGGATCAAGTTTACCAGTCTTGATGATGGAACCTCGGATCAATTTCAAGACGTCCTCATCAGTGACCAAATCAAACTCACTTAACCGTGACAGGCAGGTCGGCTGGACCAGACCGGGGGAGTGAACAAGTCCACTTTTCCGAAGTACAGGCTCTTCACGAATCCTTTCTATCTTGGCAGTGAAAAAATCTGCAAAAGCATTTGCAAGTTGTTAATCATTATCCGCGGAAGGATAATGCTTCTCAGTTTGGTTATCTATAGATCGAAAGAGGAGCCTGGTGTCATGTGCGTTGTCCTAGATAACCGACGAACAATAAAATTCCTTGGCTTTGTATAGCATTGTATTCGCAACACTACAGGCCTACTCTAGGACCTTAACTCGCCTTAACTCGCAGCTTGAGATTATGTTCAAATTTCCTTATCTCGCCTTAACTCGCCTAAACGCGCATTAGCTCGCACAATCTCGCGGCGAGTTAAGGTCCCAGAGTAGGCCTCACTACATTGCTCTATGTAGCTCAATCTGTCCGACTCAAGACGGTTAGAGCGCCACCTGCGTTCTAACCAGCTCCGCTTCCTCTTCTCATTTCCAATGTCCTCGTTATACCAGGGGGCGTTTGGACGAAGGACGATGGTCCGAGATTTCACTGGAGTTAATATATCCATGGTATCACGCAAGACGTTATCATACCTGTCAACAGCAACTCCAGGGGGAGATCACTGACTACATCTGCTAGCAGGCCTGACGAGATGATCATCTTATTAAAGGCCTCAAAATCGAAGTTCCTGAGCCGACGGCTAACAAGAGACTTTCGTTCATTGAGCGGTTTCTCATAGAGTATAGTTACAGTAAAATGACTGAAAAACGGCAGGGACCAACACCAGGTGTCCGTCCTAGAGAGGTGTCCGTTAAGAGAGAGAGTTGTCTGTATGTGCATGAAGGTAACGCTCAAAACCGAGGGCTGAAGAGAAATAATGTTATAGAATAGTAATAATGGAATAACGAGGAGTTTCCGTTTAAGAAGAAATTAGAAGTAAGCTGGAACACAGTAAGAGCTAAAAACCAAAAGCCATATTTACAAGAGCAGGTTATACCTCAAAACTTCATTGCTTTAGACTTCCTATGCGCACGTCTCTGCCGAGGAAGTGTGCGTTGGCCTGTACATGCTACGATGGGTAAGTCATGCCAAGAGAGAATGAGCTAGATCATTCTCTCTTGGTCATGCATAGCTCCGTTTTTATGATCGGGTGTTATTTACAATGAGTTTCTTCTGCATGCATTATCTTTTATTAAGAAATCACTAGACCTGGGCACTGACGGCGAAATTTACTAGTAACAACGTTTCTTTCTTTTGTAGAACTACATACCGTCAAAAATGGAAAAATATTCATTATTATGTGACGAGATACAAGCCCCTCTATTATTGTGCCCACGGGTGGAGGCCAGCCGGGGACGAATGTACAATACGTAAGTTACACAAAAATAGCCACTTTTTTACCTTATAGATATAGACGGTTTCATCGTGACGTCATTGTTTACATTTTTGCTCATTAGCATACGAGCTAACCCATAAACGATGTAGCCGTATATACCAATTAGGTTAAAAAATTAAAACAGCTTGTTAATCTACGCAGTTATCAGTAACAAAGAAAATAGCAGCAATTAAAAAATGCAAAATTACTGGGTGGCAAAACCTTGAGCTCACGCACCCTTTGTAAATTTTGGGGGTTTTCGAAGAGAATTTCTCTGAAACTATTTGGTATATGGGGCTCAAACTTTCAGAGATTACGCAAATTATTATGCTCTTTTGATATTCAGAAACTTCATTTTATTAGCTTCGTCAGATATTGATAAGCCAACGCTAACGAGACAAAAAATGTAAACAAGGATTTGCCTATAGGTGGCCTTCAACAACAACGAAAAAGAATTATATTAATTTAATGTCCCACCTGAAATCAAGGACGGATGGCACAGATATAATTATTGATAATTTTTAGCTATTAAGGTGGGAGCAATCACATAATAATAATAATAATAATAATAATAATTTTTTTTTTGATAATAATAATAATAGACAATTTTATTAAAAAAACTATTAAAATCCTATTTACAATTAATTCGCTTAAAAAAAAGAAAAAACTATTCATTCAAAAACACTATTTACAATAATAATAATAATAATAATAATAATAATAATAAAAGATAAATTAGGAACGTAGCAGAAACAATTTATGTTTCGGAGGGAAAAGCAAAATAAGTAATTACAGTTGTGAGCTTTTTATTTTTATTATTTTAATTTATTCCAGGACCTCAGTGATAGGCGAAGCAGAACTGTTTTATTTTACTCGCCGAGTTGCGCAAAAATCAATCACACAAAAGATCTTCCATTATTAGGGAGCTTAAGCAACAACGTTTTTGAGCGACGCACGTCAACCGGAAGTGGCCTTTTTTCATTTTTTGACGGTGGTTTCGCGCAAATTTTCAGTCAAATCGCCTCTATAACAGTAAAGAAGCTAAGGAATACAAATTTTATATCATCAAGGCATGTTAAGAGGGAAAATACCTCTCTTCCGGTTGACGTGCGTCGCTCAAAAACGTCGCTGCTTAAGCTCCCTATTATTAATTTCCGCTCTTTCTTATTTTAAAGCAATTTGCACAGGCCAACCAGGTTGTGATAACGGAGGCACTTGCATAAGCCCTGAACGATGTCGATGTATGCCGGGATGGAAGGGTGCAAAGTGCAGAACGGGTATGTACGATACCGCTTGCAAAGCTACTGATGACTTGTACACTGTATGAAAGCTCTACACCGAGACCAACCTATAGAAGATTTATGCAACAATTGTTTCACAATTTTGACGAACTGATTCATGAATGGCGCAAAAGCTGCACAATTGTGCAGGAAGGGAGGGGAGGGAAACATTACTGTAGCCAAAAATTGAATCACGCGGTAGAACTTTATCTCATGCAATATAAGGGCAAAACGCGATACAGTAGGTTTTAGTTACTAGGGTTTTGTACATTATGCTAGAATTTTTTCGAGCATTTTAGTGGTATTTTTTCCCAGAAAAAAAAATTTTTTCTCAGTGAAAATAAAAATTGAATATTCAAAATATTCAAATTTCACCTTAATAAAACCTTGAAGAGGAACCTTTTTTGTTGTAGGAAAACTATTAAGTTTTATACAGTTTTTTTTTAGTAATTTTTAGTGACTTTATTTGATTTACCACAAAATACAAATAACGATAAAACAAGACAGTTACACAAAAGCAAATGAAAGTGGCGAGGAAGCCCAAAAAGAAACCATGAGGCTTATAGACATTGGGCTCCCTCAGAGTAAAAATAAAGTTAACAGTAACAGTAAGGCCAGGATCGAAAGTAAAATACAATGAAGGTAAGTATAAATTAACTAATTACATAGACTGAGTTGACAAAATATAAGGTATGGTACATGTAGCAATAAGTATAAAAATAATATCAGACATGTGAAGAAATATAACTATTTACTACAAGATTTATAACTAATATAATTTTTTTTTCAGTTTCGTTTTGAATAAGTGGAGAGAATTAGATTCTTTAATATCATTTTCTATAGAGTTATAATAAATAGGTCCTTGGAAAGTGACAGAAAATTTACGAAGGTTTGTTCTACAAAAAGGAAGGTGAAAATCTTTCGTATGTCTAGTGGCACAGCTATGGACTTGTTTGTTTGACTCCCGATAACTCGAACCCTCCTAATTTGATCCTAATACTAACTCGAACCAAAGTGGATTTCCCCTGGATTTCCTTCGTACATTTACTGTAATTTTACCCTCGGTAACTCGAAACCTCTATAACTCAAACCTCTGTCTTGTCGCACTTTGTAATGCCTGTCGTACTTGTAATAACACCTATCGCACTTTGGAATAAACTTGAAATGGTCGAGGAGAAGTAAGCATACCCAGTCGAACTAGAAAACAAATCTTGAAAAATATTGATAGTTTGGGTGTCTAAATTAATACTTAACATCTTACTGACATATGCTACATTTAATGCGTAAGATTTTATAAAATCCTAGACTTACACACTTAACAGGAAGTATTTGCTGCAGTCGTGACCAAACTTGCATGGGTTCATAAAGAATTTACATCGATACCAACAGATATAAACGAGTGCTTGACCAATAATGGCGGGTGCCAGCAACATTGCTCTAATAATCGGCACGGTTCCTACACATGTTACTGTGATCAGGGGTACGCCAAGTCTGGATTCTTCAACTGTCAAGGTAACTCTTATATTTCTCTTTATCTCTTCAAGGCCAATCAGACTTAAATTGATCAAATTATGATTTGCTCACAAAGTTTTTTCTCGTGTTAGGTGCAGGCTACAGTCAAATCCCTTGAGTCAGCTCCCTGTACTACCGAAATGCAAAATATAGTACACTGGACTTTCGCCTGATGATTGTTCTTAAAATAGCTCTTTTGCGGACACTTAACAATTAACTGATTTCAAACCGAGAAAGGTTAGGATCGAGTCCATTTATTATGGGATAAACAACACGAGACCCACGAGGTCCAAACAGAGGAAACCGAGATTTACAAAATCTAGAAGTTTATATGTTTATAGGGAGTATACTGAGCGAGTGTAGAAGGCCTAAATGCAATAAACGACCCTAAATGTAATAAAGTCCTAAATGTGATAAAGTCCAAAATGTAAGAACATTTTGTTCCAAATGTAAAAAATTCTTAAGTTGCAAATCACTTTAATTACTCAAATAAGCGCCACCCTCAAATAAGCTCCGCATTTGGGGGGATTTAATAAGCGCCGCGGCGCTTAGTCGCGTAAATACGGTACTAAGAAGTATTACTATGGTTTTAAGCGCCGCCCTCAAATAAGCGCCGCATTTTTGGAGAAAAAATTTAGTAAGCTTTGGTACGTTATGCACTGTGTAACGTGATGTTTACAAATAAATTGCTTGTAAAGGGAAAAAAAAACTTGTAAGCCTTAAAACGTTTTTCATACTTCATTTTTGTTAAAGAAATTTACTGCAAAAACCGTGGACGAAGATCCTGTTGCTTGTCAACGTTGGATCTCTAGAAAAGAGATCTAATCAGCTAAAATATTAAGAACAAAAAACGAGAAGTCTAAAGGCCTCTTTACATGGAGGTGGGGGACCCCAGGTAGGTAACGTAACACGCTTTGGTGGGTAACCCGCCTGTCCATATAATCTCTCATTTTAATTTGATCACGTTTACATGATAGGTGGGGTGGCCCCCCGCATGTTACCTCACCTACCTGAGGTCCCCCACCTCCATGTAAACACGCCCTTAAAGACTACTGCCCAGCTGATAACAACGTTTATAAATAACTAAGATAATACGCGCGCGCTCTGATTGGCCGAGAGGTGTGTTTGCATGAGAGTATGTAAACATATGTGGAGTCAAGATGTTTTGCTCTTCGCGCGCTACTCACTCAAGCACGAATTTTAAAATGTTTTTTAGCTGAAAACTCGAGAAATTGACTTTATTTACCCATTCCCCTCGGATGAAACTTGGAAAATCTTTACAAACATGCTGTGCCAATTTTTTTTGCTTAAGCTGACATTTTAAGCGAGAAAAACCCTTTATTGGAAAGCATCTTTATTGCAAAACAAGAACTGATTACACGCACATTAAGCTTCGTGTAC